TAAGGAGCAATGTGGCAGATGTTGCAAGTATATATGGAATAGGTGTAAGTTATTAATGCTGTAAAGAGTTTTTATGAGGATAGTGAGGCTCAGTTAGGGTGTGAAAGAAAGAGGAGAATACTTTCCGTAAAAGTAGGTCTTAGACAAGGATTGTAATGTCACCATGGTTTTAATATATTTATAGATGGGGTTGTAAAGTGAAGTAAATGCTAGGGTTTTTGGGAGAGGGGTGGGGATTAGAGAATTATGGGAATATACAAATTCAAAATGGGAATACACAGTTTACTTTTTTGCTGATGATACTGTGCTATGGAGAGATCTAAAGAAAAATTGCTAAGGTTAGTGATGAGTTTGGGAATGTGTGTAAAGGTAGAAAGTTTAAAGTGAACTAGAAAAGAGTAAGGTCATAGGGTGCAAATGATTTAGATAAAGAAAAATTGGATATCAAATTGGGGAGGAGGAGTATGGAGAATGAATGTTTTCGAGATACTTGGGAGTTGACGTGTCGGCGGATGGATTTATGAAGGATGAGGTTAATCATAGAATTGATGAGGGAAAAAAGTGAGTGGTGCGTTGAGGTATATGTGGAGTCAAAAACGTTATCTATGGAGGCAAAGAAGGGAATGTATGAAAAGTATAGTAGTACCAACACTCTTAATAATGGGTGGTGAAGCTTGGGTGGTCAATGCAGCAGCAAGGAGACGGTTTGGAGGCAGCAAGATGTCTTGTCTAAAGGCAATGTGTGGTGTAAATATTATGCAGAAAAATTTCGGAGTGTGGAAATTAGGAGAAGTGTGGAGTTTAAATAAAAGTATAAGTCAGAGGCAGAAGAGGGGTTGTTGAGGTTGGTTTTGTCATTTAGAGAGAATGGATCACAGTAGAATGACATGGAAAGCATATAATCTATAGGGGAAGGAAGGCGGTAGGGTCCGTCCCGAAAGGGTTGGAGAGAGAGGGGGTAAAGGAGGTTTGTGGTAATGGGCTTGGATTTCCAGCAAGCTGCTTGATCGTGTTTTTTTTTAGATAGGAGTGAATAGACGAATGGTACTTGGGACCTGACGATCTGTTGGAGTTGTTGACAGGGTAATATTTAGTGAAGGGATCATGGAAACCGGTGTATTTTCAAATAGTCGGACTTGAGTCCTGGAAATGGAGGTACAATGCCTGCACTTTAAAGTGAGGATTGGGATATTGGGGGGGGGGGGGGGGGTGGGGGGTGGGGGGGGGGGGGCAGTTTGGAGGGAAGATGTTCGTGTATCTTATATATGTGAATGCTTCTAGACTGTTGTATTCTGAGCACCTCGCAAAAAACAGTGATAATGTGCGAGTGTGGGAAATTGTTGAAGAATGATGAAAGTATTCTTTTTGGGATTTTCTTTCTTTTTTTTGGTCACCCCGCCTCGTGGGAGACGGCCGACTGTTGATAAAAAAAAAAAAAAAAAAAAAAAAATATATATTATATATATATAATATATTATATAGATATAAATATATATATATATATATATATATATATAGATATATATATATAGATATTATATATATATAAATATATATTATATAAATAAATATATTATATATATATATATATATATATATATATATATAAATATAATAGATATATATATAGAAATAGATAAAAGAATCACACACAAAGTGGGAATGTCACAGCTGCTCTTTGCTGATGACACTGTGCTCTTGGGAGATTCTAAGAGAAGTTGCGAGATTAGTGGATGAATTTGGTAGGGTGTGCAAAAGAGAAAATTAAAGGGAATACAGGAAAGAGTTAAGGTTATGAGGATAACAAAAAGATTAGGTGATGAAAGATTGGATATCAGATTGGAGGGAGAGAGTATGGAGGAGGTGAACTATTCAGATATTTGGGAAGTGGACGTGTCAGCGGAGGGTCTATGAAAGATGAAGGGGTGAATCATAGAATTGATGAGGGAAAAAATGAGTGTGTGGTGCACTAGGATGTCTGGGAGACAAAGACTTTGTCCTTGGAGGCAATGAGGGGAATGTATGAGAGTATAGTTTTTAACCACGGCTCTTATATGGGTGGTGAAGCGTGGTGATGAATGTTGCAATGCAGCGAGGAGAAGGCTGGAGGCAGTGGAGTGTCATGTCTGAGGGCAATGTGTGGTGTGAATATAATGCAGAGAATTCCGTAGTTGGAAGTTAGAGAGGTGGCGGGATTACCAAACTGTTTGTCCACAGGGCTGAGGAAGGGTTGTTGAGGTGGTTCTGTACATGTAGAGAGAATGGAAGCGAAACAGAATGACTTCAAGAGTGTATCTAGTCTGTAGTGGAAGAAGGCGGGGTAGGGTCGGCCTAGAAAGGTTGGAGGGAGGGGGTAAAGGGATGTTTTGGTGTGTGAGGGGCTTGACTTCCATCAGGCATGCGTGAAGCGTGTTTGATAGGAGTGAATGGAGACAATGGTTTTTTAATACTTGAACGTGCTGTATTGGAGTGTGAGCAAAGTAACATTATGAAGGGATTCGGGAAACACGGCAGGCCGGAACTTGGAGTCCTGGAGATGGGAAGTACTGAGTGCCTGCACTCCGAAGGAGGGGTGTTAATGTTGCAGTTTAAAAACTGTAGGTGTAATAAGCACCCTTTCTGGCAAGACAGTGATGGAGTGAATGATGGTGAAAGTTTTTCTTTTTTTTCGGGCCACCTGCCCTTGGTGGGAATCGGCCATTGTGAATAATAATATAAAAAAATATATAATATATATGTATGAAAGAATAGTAGTACAACACTCTTATATGGATGTGAAGCTGGGTGATAAAAATGCCGCAGCGAGGAGACGGTTGGAGGCAGTGGAGATGTCCTGTCTAAGGGCAATGTGTGGTGTAATATATGCAAAAATTCGGAGTGTGGAAATTAGGAGAGGTGTGGAGTTTAATAAAAGTATTATTCAGAGGGCAGAAGAGGGGTCTTGTTGAGGTGGTTTTGGTCATTTAGAGAGAACGAATCAAAGTAGAATGACATGGAAAGCATATAAACTATAGGAAAGGAAGCGAGGTAGGGTCATCCTCGAAAGGGTTGAAATAGTGGGTAAGGGAGGTTTTGGTGAGGCGAGGGGCTTGGACTTCCAGCCAAGCCGGTGCGTGAGCGTGTGGATTAGGAGTGAATGGAACGAAAGTACTTGGGACCTGGACGATCTTGTTGGAGTGTGACAGGGTAATATTTAGCTGAAGGGATTCAGGGAGAACCGGTTATTTTCATATAGTCGGACTTGAGTCCCTGGAAATGGGAAGTACAATGCGTGCCTTTAAGGAGGGGTTTGGGATTTGGCAGTTTGGAAGGGATATGTTTTGTGTATTCTTTATACGTCCTCCATTGCAGATACACCAAATCTGCATGACAAGTGTCTTCCATTGCAGACACTGCAAGGCTCCAGGCTGACATCAACCAAATCTTCAATGGCTGCAGAAAACAATATAAGTTCAACGATGAGAATTTTCAATTACTCAGTATATGGTAAAGGTAAACACAGGAAATTAAATCTCCATCAAGTACAAAGACAAATTCTGCCACAAAATAGAGAGAATTCGCCAACGGCAAAGACCTGGAGTGATCATGTCGGAGGGAACTCACCATTCAAGGACCATAACATTGTATCAATCGCATCTGCTAAAAAATGACAGGATTGGATAATGAGAAACCTTCAAAACTAGGGAGGGCCAAGGCCCTGATGACCCTCTTCACGTCACTTGTTTCTATCTAGGCTGGAATATTGCTGCACACTAACAGCACTTTCAAGTCAGGTGAAATTGCTGACCTAGAAAAATGTACAGAGAACCTCAAGCGGCGCTCATACAGAGATAAAAACACCTCAATTACTGGGAGCGCATTTGAGTTCCTGAACCTGTATTCCCTGGAACGCAGGTGGGGAGAGATACATGATTATATACACCTGGAAAATCCAGAGGGACTAGTACCGAACATTGCACACGAAAAACACTCACTACTAACTAACGAAAGCAAAAGACTTGGGCAGACGATGCAACATCCCCCCAATGAAAGCAAGGGTGTCACTAGCAGCAAGAGACATACAATAAGTGTCAGGGGCCGAGACTGTTCAACAACTGCTCCCAGCATACATAAGGGGGGGGGATTACCAACAGAGCCCCTGAAGTCCTTCAAGCTGGCACTGGACTAGCACCTATAGTTGGTTCCTGAACCAGCCGGTCTGTGCTCGTACGTTTGGTATTTTTGCGTGCGCCATCAGCAACAGCCTGGTTTGAATCAGGCTTGATCCACCAGGAGGCCCGGTCACAGACCGGGCAACGGGGGCGGTGACCCCCGGAACTCTCTCCAGGTAAACTCCAGGTAATATGCTTCTAATTATTGTATTCTGAGCACCTCTGCAAAAACAGTGATAATGTGTGAGTGTAGTGAAAGTGTTGAATGTGATGAAAGCATTTTCTTTTAGGGATTTTCTTTCTTTTTTGGGTCACCCTGCCTCGGTGGGAGACGGCTGACTTGTTGAAAAAAAAAAAAAAATGTGTGTGTGTGTGCTCACCTATTTGTGGTTGCAGGGGTCGATTCATAGCTCCTGGCCCCGCCTCTTCACCGATCGCTACTAGGTCCTCTCTCTCCCTGCTCCATGAGCTTTATCAAACCTCGTCTTAAAACTATGTATGATTCCCACCTCTACTACGTCACTTTCTAGGCTATTCTACTTCCTGACAACTCTATGACTGAAGAAATACTTCCTAACATCCCTTTGACTCATAGGAGTCTTCGCTTCCAATTGTGACCCCTTGTTTCTGTGTCCTATCTCTGGAACATCCTGTCTTTGTTCACTTTGTCAATTCCTCGCAGTATTTGATATGTTGTTATCATGTCTCCCGTGACCATGCTTGAGGTCCACTGTTGTGCCCGGGCTGGGAAAGAAACATGGCTTGTAAATCAGGCTGCCCAGAATATATGTATATAATATACATACATACATGTACTTGATGTATATAATTAATGTTTCATTGTTTCAGTATAAAGATGGTATGGCTGACAGCAGCTGGGAGTGTGGCCATGCTGACGCTGTGGGTGACCAACTTGGCAGTTGACTATGCTGCTGCCGTTCAGTTATGTATTAACATGGAAGTTATCCATGGTATTATGCTGATGATATGGGTGATGCTTTTCCACCTGGTCACTGGAGGCTGGCTGCTCAGAATGTAAGCAGTGGACGTAATTTGCTTTTTATGTTGCAATACTAAAAGAATCCTCTGTTAACTCAATTTGAAGAATAAACATTAGCCCATGTGCCAGTCTGTTCTGGACCATTATTAATATATATATTTATTTCTCTTTCTCTCCTCTTTATAGCTTATATTGTGTCATGTACAGGAACAATTTATACAAAATACTTTTTTATTTCAGACTGTCAAGCAAATTTAACAAGTGTTTTCTAATTGCCCTCTTCCTGATTATGGAGATACCTTTCTATTTGTAAGTACAAAGCATTTTGGATTGTTTGATCATCATAACTTACACAGACTTAACCTTTTAATTACATTTACCTTACATTGTTTTATGTTTTCATTAGTGCTTTCCATTTACTTGACTATCACTGCAGTCTTTTTTTTTATGCTGTTATGTGATAATGTTCACTAAACCTTTGGCTCCTATTTTTCTTGTGTGAATTAGGTACATGTATATGTAACAAGGACCCCAATGGAAATAAGTAACTTTGTCTGACTTTTGGGTTATCCAAGGTAATTACACATATGCTGCTATGTATGATAATTTATGTAACTGTATTTGTGTACGTATCTGTATCTGAATAAACTTAGCATAAGATTTTAGACAACGGATGTGGAAAGACTGGGTCGTTCCCTGCACAATCAAGAGAAAAATCTCTACTTTTTGTGATAATGGTTTCTGTCTGCAGCTACAGGAAGTTATGCTATCATAAAGCTGTTTTTCTCCAACTGAGATCCTCTTCTCCTTGCATAAAATATTATATTCACAGGGGGGGGGGTGTTATAGTGCCTGAGGAATGGGAGGAAATCAGGCTTGATCCATAAACAGCAAGGCAGACCCCAACTTCCTTGATCAAGAGCCCTTATTCAACCACAGGCTCAGATAAATCGTTTCTTTAATATTTGAAATGCTAGTCAGAAAATGGAGAAATAGCAATGATCATTGCTTGTGTGCATCTGATGTGTTTAACTTGGACATATACTCAAATTAAACATAAGAGTTGTTTAGTACAGTACAGTGGTGTGCTGCATATTTAATTAGTGTTTTTATATCAATGCCTTATTTTTGATATTTTAAGCCTGTAATAATTGAAGATTTCAAATTTCCTTTAATATATATAAGTCGGGTATCCATTTCATGAACTGTTTATTTAAAAAAATTAGCCTAAAAATTCTTGATGTTAATGTAAGCATCGAGAATGCTCAGTTGGAAACATTTTGGCAATTTATGCAGGAAAATGCCATAATAAGATAGGATTTGCTTTTAATTTCTGAAACTTGTCAAAAATTATGAATATTTAGGATGTGATAACAGTTGTTAATTGTACAGTATATAAATACACTATGCAAAACAATCATAGGGGAGTTAAATGATAGCTCTAGGCCTTTTGTGTTGCAAAAACACATCATCAGGAGCTTGCAATGTTGCATATATTGGTAGGAAGTCCAAGCAGATTAGTTCAAGGGAATGTTGTAGCTTGAACAAGCTAGAACATTCTCCTGAGCTAATCTGCTTTGACTTCCTACTCATTTCTGCAACATTGCAAGCTCCTGATGTGTTGATTGCAACATGAAATGCCTAGAGGTATCATTCAACTTCTCCTGTGGTTGTTTTGCATCTTGTATTGCTTGTTTGTGATTATTGCACATACACTATAAATGAATTATATATTCATATATCATTTACTTGTAAGGTGGTGATGTGTTAGGAAATGGGACAAGTGCGTCTTGTGGTGGATAATTTTTTTTTTTTTTTTTAGATATCTCGTAAAGTTTCTGTTAGCCTACGTTTTACAGCTGATTTCAGTTAAAAACCACTGGATCACCACTGAGTAGTTTCCTAACGTAGTCTTTAATTAGCACAGTATACTTCCAGGAATGAGCAAAGTACAGTAGGATCCCCATATCTGCGGGGGGATACGTCCCAAGAACCTGCCGTGAATACCAAAACTGTGGATAGTATATTGCAGACCCTATATATAAGTCCTATACATACCTGTTTTAAAGTTTAATTGATAAATTATGCACAATAAATGGAGAATTCACTTTTTCACTGATGGGAAGGACTTCGTGGTTCTCTTGCTTTGAAGAACTACCAGCTTTTCTACTTTTGTGCTTTGGCGCCATTATTATGCAGAATTAAGAGGTATTTTTGGGCCTCAATAAACCGTGGATAACTGAAACTGTGGGTACTGAATTGGTGGATGCGGGGTTCTACTGTACATACTACATATATATGTGTATCATTTGCTTTGATTAAAAAGTGTGTAAAAGGTACTGGAACAGCATAGATTTTCCAGTACCCTTGGTTAATAGGCTTTTTCAGGTACAGTATATTGATTTTTGTCGGAGCAGCAAAGGTCATATAGCACTGTAATAATAATTTGACGGTACACCTCTGATCCGCCATAGTCCACTGGAAACTTGAATTACACATTAACATAATTGAAACAGGTTTATTTATTACTATATGTACAATGAATTCTAGGTAGTAGGTTGGTAGACAGCAACCACCCAGGGAGGTACTACCGTCCTGCCAAGTGAGTGTAAAATGAAAGCCTGTAATTGTTTTACATGATGGTAGGATTGCTGGTGTTCTTTTTTCTGTCTCATGAACATGCAAGATTTCAGGTACGTCTTGCTACTTCTACTTACACTACACACACTACACATACACGTACAAGCATATATATACACGTCCCTCTGGGTTTTCTTCTGTTTTCTTTCTAGTTCTTGTTCTTGTTTATTTCCTCTTTCTCCATGGGGAAGCGGAACAGAATTCTTCCTCTGTAAGCCATGCGTGTTGTAAGAGGCGACTAAAATGCTGGGAGCAAGGGCCTAGTAACCCCTTCTCCTGTATAAATTACTAAATTTAAAAAGAGAAACTTTCGTTTTTCTTTTTGGGCCACCCTGCCTTGGTGGGATGCGGCCGGTTTGTTGAAAAAAAAAAATTTACAATGAATGTTACAGTATTGTACTACCACTATCAAGGTGATAAATTTTAGATTTTTATTGGTACTTTAGCAGTACTGTATAACCCTTGTTGGTTTAGCACTTAGTTATGATTATAATGATAATGATGCTGGTACTGTATAGCTAATCACAAAAGTTAATTGTTAATGAAATATGATAATTGCATAAAATCAAGGGATCACTACCAACAGCTGCAGTGTAAACAATATGTTGGTACACACTATATACAACACTAAATGTGGCTGCCTAGTAAACTATTTTGGCAAAAAATGTAGTCATGCAATTTTGTCTTCACTAAAACAGGTGCTGGATGATCCATTGCCAGTCATTGTTGTACCTGTACTACTAAATATCATAATGCTAGATGTTGTATAAATAAGATTATGCCATAAACATCCCAAGTCTGAAAGGAGTTATTCTCTATATAATTATGTTTAGTATAACCCAGGTCTGGTATCATAAAGGGATAATAGTGTTACTGTAGACTTGTAATTTCTCATATTGTACTTTTAAATCTTCAGAGAGCCCTTTTATACAATAATATTCTGGAAGAGAATCAGCTGTTAGACTAAGTTGTTTTTTATATTAATATATCTCTAACAGAACTTTTATTATTATTATTATCACACTGGCCGATTCCCACCAAGGCAGGGTGGCCCGAAAAAGAAAAACTTTCACCATCATTCACTCCATCACTGTCTTGCCAGAAGGGTGCTTTACACTACAGTTTTTAAACTGCAACATTAACACCCCTCCTTCAGAGTGCAGGCACTGTACTTCCCATCTCCAGGACTCAAGTCCGGCCTGCCGGTTTCCCTGAATCCCTTCATAAATGTTACTTTGCTCACACTCCAACAGCACGTCAAGTATTAAAAACCATTTGTGTCCATTCACTCCTATCAAACACGCTCACGCATGCCTGCTGGAAGTCCAAGCCCCTCGCACACAAAACCTCCTTTAACCCCCTCCCTCCAACCTTTCCTAGGCCACGACCCTACCCCGCCTTCCTTCCACTACAGATGATACACTCTTGAAGTCATTCTGTTTCGCTCCATTCTCTCTACATGTCCGAACCACCTCACAACCTTCCTAAGCCCTGTGGACAACAGTTTTGGTAATCCCGACCTCCTCCTAACTTCCAAACTACGAATTCTCTGCATTATATTCACACCACACATTGCCCTCAGACATGACTCTCCACTGCCTCCAGCCTTCTCCTCGCTGCAACATTCATCACCCATGCTTCACAACCCATATAAGAGCGTTGGTAAAAACTATACTCTCATACATTCCCCTCTTTGCCTCCAAGGACAAAGTTCTTTGTCTCCACAGACTCCTAAGTGCACCACTCACTCTTTTTCCTCATCAATTCTATGATTCACCTCATCTTTCATAGACCCATCTGCGGACACGTCCACTCCCAAATATCTGAATACGTTCACCTCCTCCATACTCTCTCCCTCCAATCTGATATTCAATCTTTCATCACCTAATCTTTTTGTTATCCTCATAACCTTACTCTTTCCTGTATTCACCTTTAATTTTCTTCTTTTGCACACCCTACCAAATTCATCCACCAGTCTCTGCAACTTCTCTTCAGAATCTCCCAAGAGCACAGTGTCATCAGCAAAGAGCAGCTGTGACAACTCCCACTTTGTGTGTGATTCTTTATCTTTTAACTCCACGCCTCTTGCCAAGACCCTCGCATTTACTTCTCTTACAACCCATCTATAAATATATTAAATAACCACGGTGACATCACACATCCTTGTCTAAGGCCTACTTTTACTGGGAAAAATTTCCCTCTTTCCTACATACTCTAACTTGAGCCTCACTATCCTCGTTAAAAAACTCTTCACTGCTTTTCAGTAACCTACCTCCTACACCATACACTTGCAACATCTGCCACATTGCCCCCCTATCCACCTGTCATACGCCTTTTCCAAATCCATAAATGCCACAAAGACCTCTTTAGCCTTATCTAAATACTGTTCTCTTATATGTTTCACTGTAAACACCTGGTCCACACACCCCCTACCTTTCCTAAAGCCTCCTTGTTCATCTGCTATCCTATTTTCCGTCTTACTCTTAATTCTTTCAATTATAACTCTACCATACACTTTACCAGGTATACTCAACAGACTTATCCCCCTATAATTTTTGCACTCTCTTTTATCCCCTTTGCCTTTATACAAAGGAACATGCATGCTCTCTGCCAATCCCTAGGTACCTTACCCTCTTCCATACATTTATTAAATAATTGCACCAACCACTCCAAAACTATATCCCCACCTGCTTTTACATTTCTATCTTTATCCCATCAATCCCAGCTGCCTTACCCCCTTTCATTTTACCTACTGCCTCACGAACTTCCCCCACACTCACAACTGGCTCTTCCTCACTCCTACAAGATGTTATTCCTCCTTGCCCTATACACGAAATCACAGCTTCACCTATCTTCATCAATATTTAACAATTCCTCAAAATATTCCCTCCATCTTCCCAATACCTCTAACTCTCCATTTAATAACTCTCCTCTCCTATTTTTAACTGACAAATCCATTTGTTCTCTAGGCTTTCTTAACTTGTTAATCTCACTCCAAAACTTTTTCTTATTTTCAACAAAAATTTGTTGATAACATCTCACCCACTCTCTCATTTGCTCTCTTTTTACATTGCTTCACCACTCTCTTAACCTCTCTCTTTTTCTCCATATACTCTTCCCTCCTTGCATCACTTCTACTTTGTAAAAAACTTCTCATATGCTAACTTTTTCTCCCTTACTACTCTCTTTACATCATCATTCCACCAATCGCTCCTCTTCCCTCCTGCACCCACTTTCCTGTAACCACAAAACTTCTGCTGAACACTCTAACACTACATTTTTAAACCTACCCCATACCTCTTCGACCCCATTGCCCATGCTCTCATTAGCCCATCTATCCTCCAATAGCTGTTTATATCTTACCCTAACTGCCTCCTCTTTTAGTTTATAAACCTTCACCTCTCTCTTCCCTGATGCTTCTATTCTCCTTGTATCCCATCTACCTTTTACTGTCAGTGTAGCTACAAACTAGAAAGTGATTCTGATATATCTGTGGCCCCTCTATACACATGTACATCCTGAAGTCTACTCAACAGTCTTTTATCTACCAATACATAATCCAACAAACTACTGTCATTTCGCCCTACATCATATCTTGTATACTTATTTATCCTCTTTTTCTTAAAATATGTATTACCTATAACTAAACCCCTTTCTATACAAAGTTCAGTCAAAGGGCTCCCATTACATTTACACCTGGCACCCCAACTTACCTACCACACCCTCTCTAAAAGTTTCTCCTACTTTAGCATTCAGATCCCTACCACAATTACTCTCACTTGGTTCAAAGGCTCCTATACATTCACTTAACATCTCCCAAAATCTCTCTCTCTCCTCTGCATTCCTCTCTTCTCCAGGTGCATACACGCTTATTATGACCCACTTCTCGCATCCAACCTTTACTTTAATCCACATAATTCTTGAATTTACACATTCATATTCTCTTTTCTCCTTCCATAACTGATCATTTAACATTACTACTACCCTTCCTTTGCTCTAACCTCTCAGATACTCCAGATTTAATCCCATTTATTTCCCCCACTGAAACTCTCCTACCCCCTTCAGCTTTGTTTCGCTTAGGGCCAGGACATCCAACTTCTTTTCATTCATAACATCAGCAATCATCTGTTTCTTGTCATCCGCACTACATGCACGCACATTTAAGCATCCCAGTTTTATAAAGTTTTTCTTCTTCTCTTTTTTAGTAAATGTCTACAGGAGAAGGGGTTACTAGCCCATTGCTCCCGGCATTTTAGTCGCCTCATACGACACGCATGGCTTACGGAGGAAAGATTCTTTTCCACTTCCCCATGGACACTAGAAGAAATAAAGAAGAACAAGAGCTATTTAGAAAAAGGAGAAAAACCTAGATGTATGTATATATATATGCATGTGCGTGTCTGTGAAGTGTGACCAAAGTGTAAGTAGGAGTAGCAAGATATCCCTGTTATCTAGCATGTTTATGAGACAGAAAAAGAACTTAACAGTGCCAAATTAGTTTAAAAAATATTGTAAAAATTAAATTGATGTATTGTATGCATTTTTGTAAGGGTCATTAATGTTATTTTTAATGTATATGCTTTTAAAATAATTTTATATACATGTACAGTAATTATCCATTGGGAAGTGGTATATAAAATCTTCTCCGTAGCCTTTGCAGTTTTGTAAAAGTCAACTAAAAATGCCCGAACAATGGGCTAGTAACCCCTTTTCCTGTAAAGATTACTAAAGAGAATAAGAAGAAAATTGTTTTCTTTCTTTTTTGGGTCACCCTGCCTCGGTGGGAGACGGCCGACTTGTTGAAAAAAAAAAAAAAAAAAAAAAAAAATGTACAGTAATATTAGTACTGTATTGTGTGTTTAGTAGTTCGTGTCTCACTCATAATAAACCATCAGGGAGTGAGATACACAAAGAAAGTCATAGTCATGTGTGCAAATATGTCTGTATAAAATCGCAAGAGCAAAATACATTTACCAATAGTTGCATTAGACAGTGAAATTTCATATCTGAGTGTAGAGTAAAAGGTTACTTTATCTGGTACATTGCAGGTTATGCCGGGGAGCATGGTATGGCTTGTGGGCATGTTGCTCAAGAAGCCAGACTGACAGGTCACGCAGAGCTCTACAAGCAAAATTTGCAGCCATTTGTGAAATGTGGAATTCTTTTGAGAAACTGCCATTAGAAGGGTCAGACCACCGTCAGGAGACCTGTGTTCCCTCTCAGTCTGAGGCATTACCAGTTCCGACCACCAATGGTTCTGCTACTGTCACTTTTGATGATCAGCATGAAACAGAAGTCCCTGTCAAAATGGTGACAACTAAGTTTGTTGAAAACACTAATCAAATTCACCTAAGTCCAAGTGCTTCCTTCGACATCCATATTGGAGAACGGAGTGTATATAAATTCCTGAAAAGAAGGTTGCATGAACTCTATGCAGATAAAGCAAGAGTGTCATACCACATTGTAACAGATCCCACAAACACAAAAATTATTCATGCTTCTTGCACAGACAAACGCATTGGTAGTTTGCCTGAACGTGTCCTTAGTGAAAATCCACTTGTCATTTGTAATGATACTCACTATATTTTGAATCTTCATAGGTACAATGGTTATGAGGTTTATCATATTACAAAACGGTCATTGGAAGAAGTTACCTCCTATATTAACAGAGACTTGACAAAGCTGCTTTGGCTTCCCACGTGGCCCCTGACGGTGATTAAGTTCCTCATCATAATGGACATTAGCAGGCATCAAATAGCTACTTTCAATACAAGAGGTATAGTAGCAATTCATCTGCAATAGTATTAGTGTTAGTTTGCAATATCAGAAAGGACAGTACAGCAGAGACCAGTTCTCCCTATCAGCAACTCTTCAAATACCATCCCCTTTCCTCACCCTCCTGCTTACCGCTACCAACAGCCATTCCTAAAAGCTAGACTTCAGCCACCACCAGGGGGCAAGGTGGTGGGGTAGCTATCTGGTTGGAACCGAAAAGGTCTAGAGACTCTGAATCTGTGGAAGAATCACACTTTTAACTTAAGTGTGTATATTATAGATCAATAAAAATAATGTTTTCTAAAGATCCTTTTATATAAGAGTAAAAAAACAGTTGTCCATATCTAAGAACAATAATAATACATGAAATTACATCAGTATGTATGCCATTAAAAAAATTGGATTCACCATGACCTTATTATTGATGTAATGATATATAGCTGGAATATGATATACAGTGGACCCCCGGTTTACGATATTATTTCATTCCAGAAGTATGTTCAGGTGCCAGTACTGACCGAATTTGTTCCCTTAAGGAATATTGTGAATTAGGTTAGTCCATTTCAGACCCCCCAAACATACACATACAAACGCACTTACATAAATACACTTACATAATTGGTCGCATTGGGAGCTGATCGTAAACTGGGGGTCCACTGTATTTCTATTCTCAAATGAGTCACCTTAACTGAAAACTCGTATCATCAATTCTTCTGTTGTTATGGTTAAAAGCAAAAGTATCAATGATACCTTCAACATTCAGATTCTTGACTCTCTTCATATTTATAGATATAACTGCAATATCGCTTGATTTGCTATCACTACTATTGTTTGTCAAGTTTTTGTCAGTCACAGGCAGGAAAAAAATATGTTCATGCTGCATAATTAACTGGCATAAGCTGAATACCTGATGATTTTCATAATCAGTTATTCAACTTATGGGTGCCTCTAAGCCTTAATGCTGCCACTGACCACCTATAACTTACCCCTCTTCCATTCCTTCTGATGCACTACCATCCACCATCTACCATTCCACCCATCCTTATCACTATTCGGCACCTGCTGATTTAACTTCCCCGCTCCCATTTTTAGACACTTATGTTTTGCCTACATCCATCACTGCTCCTCACCATCTATCCTCAACACTATCCAAACCCTGGCTCTACTGCCCACACCTACTGACATGGAGGATGTGAAAAGAGATTTGAGGGGTACATGCTTGAGTATCCAGCAGGCATGTGTGAACATGTTAAAGAATGCAGATAAGTGATTTTTTTTGGAATGAAGGGATTCATGAAAGCAGTTAGCTGGCCTTAGAGTTTGGTAGGTGGGAAATATGGTGTGATACTTTGACAGTTAGGGTTATTGTGCATCAGTGGGTGATTGGATCTTTGTCTGTACCCCTCAAGGGATGTTCTCTGATGCCAGTGATGAGGAGATCAACCCTGATTGTTTTCCATCCCTTCAGGCACTGTATGACTCCTATGGATTTAGCACTGCCACCCAATTATAATTATAATAATTCATGTCTGTACATTTCTGTAAATTATTATTATCTAATTAAATGCTAAACCCATAAAGGTCATGCAACACTGACACTTGCTTAAAGACAACTCAAGAATGAGTGATGTACAGTGGTACCTCGGGATACAAATAGCTCAAAACTCGAACAATTATGTAATTGTATTTATGTAAGTGCTTTTGTAAGTATATTCCTGGGGGTCTGAAACAGATAAATCTGATTTACATTGTTCCTTATGGGAACAAATTCGTTTGGTATCGGCACTCGAGCATCCTTCTGGAACAAAAATAGTTCGTAGCCTGAGGTGCCACTGTACTTTCTTCTTTGTGACCATCCTGCCCTGTGGAAATTAAGCAGCTGGTGTATTAGAGAAGGGTGGAGAATTAGACACTGCAACATTTGGGAATGTTTATTATGAATACTGTCCACCAACCAGTTGCTTCCTCAGTCTAGTACAGAGATGAATGGTGGAAGATGAGGAATTTGAAGTAATCAGTCCCTCAGCTTTCTCATCTTCCGCCCTTCTCTGTACTGGACTGAGGAAGCCACTTGTTGGTAAAATGTTTCCACAATAAAGATTCCCAAATGCTTCAAGGTGTCTAATTCTTCAACTTGTCAGTTTTCTAAACCATTTACATACATTGAAGATGGATATTTTGAGTACAGTGCAATGCTTAACAGTGACAGACCTGAGGTGATCATATATTGCCTGGGATTGGCAGGCAATTGGGTTAAATTCAAGGACGGTAAGCCCAGATCCAATTCCTTGGACCAAAAGCCCCTCATTGGTATCAAGAGAACCTCCTTGAGTGAAGAATTGTGGGAAGAGGTGTGAAGGTAGGGATTGGAGATATGGCATCCTTATATGCTCTAGTCAGTGACAGCAGAAAATTTGGCTGGTTTATAGGGTTTAAAGCCTCTCAACTTGACAAGGGGTTTTTAAAGCCACTATCACCTATATACCACCAATCAAGGATACTTTAATACTTAAAATAACAGTTAAACTAAACTCACCATGTATGGACAGATACACATACACCTCTCGGTGTGTTGTAACTTTGATTAAAAAGGTGTTAACACAGTGTCTTTTCCACAGATTGGCCATTGCCTTCGGTGGTGTATGTGAGCGCAGTTCTTGGTGTACTGACATGGATGGCGACACAGAGGTCTCTCTACCAAACCAACACAGACATCCTGTACCTAAGTGGCCACAGGCTCTTCTTGTATGGTAAGTTGTTGATAAAATAAAGTGTATGTCATTGACATACATGCCTGACAATAAACAAATAAATACTCAAGTAAAAAATATATAGATAAAAACACACACACACACACAGAGCTAAGAGGTATGTCCTACGAGGAGAGGTTAAGGGAAATCAACCTGACGACACTGGAGGACAGGAGAGATAGGGGGGACATGATAACGACATACAAAATACTGAGAGGAATTGACAAGGTGGACAAAGACAGGATGTTCCAGAGATTGGACACAGTAACAAGGGGACACAGTTGGAAGCTGAAGACACAGATGAATCACAGGGATGTTAGGAAGTATTTCTTCAGCCACAGAGTAGTCAGTAAGTGGAATAGTTTGGGAAGCGATGTAGTGGAGGCAGGATCCATACATAGCTTTAAGCAGAGGTATGATAAAGCTCACGGCTCAGGGAGAGTGACCTAGTAGCGATCAGTGAAGAGGCGGGGCCAGGAGCTCGGACTCGACCCCCGCAACCTCAACGGTGAGTACACTAGGTGAGTACACACACCACACACACACACACACACACACACACACAACACACACACACACACACACACACACACACACACACACACCACAACACACACACCACAACACACACAACACAACACACCACACAAACACACACAACACACACACAACACAACAAACACACAAACACACACACAACACAACAAAACACACACAACACACACACACACAAACACACAACCAACACCACTCACACACACACACCACACACACAACACCACACCACAACACACACACACCACACACACACAACACACACACACACAACACCCCACAGCAACACACACACACAACACCACACACCACACACAACACCACCACACACACACAACACACACAACACACCACACACAAACACACACACACACAACACCACACACACACACACACACATAACACACACACACACAACACACACACACAACACACACACACAACACACACACACACAACACACCACACAAAAACCACAACACACACAACACCACACACACACAACACAACACACACAAAACACCACACAACACACACACAAAACACACCACAACACACACACAACAAAACCACAAACACACACACAAACACACACAACACACACACACACAACACTACACACACCCCCACACACACATATTGGAGTATGCGGCACCAGTTTGGAACCCACACTAGCCAAGCACGTGAAGAAACTAGAGAAGTGCAAAGGTTTGAAAACAAGACTAGTCCCAGAGTAAGAGGTATTTTCCTACGAGGAGGGGTTTAAAGGGGAAATCAACCTGACGACACTGGAGGACAGGGAGTTTAGGGGGGATATGATAACGACATAAAAAATACTGAGGGGGAATTGACAAGGTGGACAAAGACAGGTGTTTCCAGAGATTTGGGCCGTAACAAGGGGACACAGTTGGAAGCTGAAGCAAGATGAATCACAGGGATGTTAGGAAGTATTTCTTCAGCCACAGAGTAGTCAGTAAGTGGAATGGTTTGGGAAGCGATTTTAGTGGAGGCGGATCCATACTAGCTTTAAGCAGAGGTTTGATAAAGTCACGGTTTAGGGAGAGTGACTAGTAGCGATCAGTGAAGAGGTGGGGCCAAAGGGCTTGGACTCGACCCCGCAACCTCAACTAGGTGGTACAAATAAAGGGGAGTAACACAACACAATAGCCAGACTCACACATACACTCCCCCCCCCCTCCCCAACCCACATCTCACCTTCCTGATCCTCCCTCCCTCTTTCACCCTCCCCCTCCCCACTTCCTCCTTCCCCCTCCTCCTTCCCCTCTCCCTCCTTCCCCTCTCCCTCTCCAATCACCCCTTGTTCTCCTCCTACCCACCCCCCTCCCCACTCTCCTCCACATAGCCACAGTTCTCCTCTACCTCTCCCCCCACACTCTGGGCATACACACTACTAACCTAACACACAGAATTTTCTGGTTTCCCACTCTGAGGCAATCAGGATAAAAAAAAAATGGGTTGCCAGAGAGCAACAAGAAAAACCCAAGGGACAGGAGGAGGAAGCTGCAAAGGAAGATTGGGTAGCAGAGCTCAGAAAAAGAGAACATGAATGGGAAAAGAAACTAGAAGAACTTAGCATGAGAATGGAAGAGAGGATAGATATGGAAAGCAGGAAGTGGGAGGTGCAAGTCAAAGCAGCAGAGGCCAGGATACAGAGTTTAGAAGAGGAACTGAAAAATCTGAAACAGCCTAAAGAACTAAAGAACATTTTGGGATTGACAACAGAGACTGCTTCCTCAGTCACAAATAAGGGGACTAGGGAAAGAAGGAGCAAAACTGCATGTAGAAGCTCTATCAGTGGAGACTGTAGTAAATGAAAGAGACTAAGCTATATGTGGGGCCCTAACAGACCACAGCAGAGCCAGGGAAAGCCAAGAAGGGAAAATGAAGGCCATTGACCCCAAGTACATTAGCTAGTGAAAACTGAAGAAAGGAAAGCTGCAATGGAGGAAATCAAATTGAATGAGGGGATACACAGGGTATGCAGTGGGAGAATGAAAGGGTGAGGCCCCAGTCTTTGTGTATGGGCTCAGGAAGTTGAAGGGGAAACATATGAAGCAAGAAAACAAGGGAAAAAAAAGCAATTGAAAGCATCATGAAAGCAGTAGGAGAAGACGACATGACCCAGCTGGAAAATTTTCGGAGAATAGGGAAGTTTGAAAAAAAAAAGAACCGGCCAGTGAAAGGGGGACCTTCAAGGCAGAATCGATTCAGAACAGGATCCTGCAGGAGAAAGCATGATTAAGGGGACATGCCGGCATACAGGAAGGTGTATCTCGACCGCGACAGAAAACGAGAAGAAAGGCAGAAATTTGAGAGAGATGGTACAAAGGTGAAAAGGAGGAAAGAGAGGGGATGGAGAAGACAGACAGCAGACCCCAGACACAGGAAGATCAAATACAGCCTCCCTCACAATTCTATAGAACCCTCCCAACCAGGTCAACCCCAGTGCAACCAAAACACTCTAAACCAAAACCCATGCCACATCCATGCCCCCACCCACTGCATTACAAACTCCACCCCCACAGCAACACCCATAGTTCCTTATCAGGTCTCCACTTCCCAACCACAATACACCTTTCAGACTACAGTCTTAGAAAAGAAGTTGAAGGTGTTGGTATACAAATGCAGATGGAATAACAAATAAGTATGAGGAGTGGCACGAAAGATCAAGGAGACATCCCCAGACATAATAGCACTCACAGAAACAAAACTCACCAGAATAAAATAATCAGATTCATCTTTCCACCCGATATCAAATCCTCAGGAAAGACAGAGGAGGAGAGGGGGAGGAGGAGTTGCACTGCTCATTAAAAACCAGTGGGTTTTGAGAAAATGGAAGGAATGGATGGCATGGGCAAAAGGGACTACTTAGTAGGAACAATCCGTCTGAGGGACATAAGGTGATAATTGCAGTAATGTACAACCCACCACGAGAACTGCAGGAGGCCAACAGAAAGAATATGATTGAGAGCAACAGAGCAATGGTCGGCACACTAGCCGAGGTGGCCAGGAGAGCACACATGGGGGAGCAAAGTTACTAGTTATGGGTGATTTCAATCACAAGGAGATTGACTGGGAAAACCTGGAGCCCCATGGGGGTCCCAAAACATGGAGAGCCAAGATGATGGATGTGGTACTGGAAAACCTCATGCATCAAACATGTTAGAGACACTACCAGAGAGAGAGAGGAGAGGATGAACCAGCAAGACCGGACCTTGTATTCACCTTGAGTAGTTCGGACATCGAGGATATCATGTATGAAAGGCCCCTGGGAGCTAGTAATCATGTGGTTCTGTGCTCACATACATAGTTGAGCTCCAAGTGGAGAGAGTAGCAGGAATAGGGTGGGAAAAACCAAACTACAAAAGGGGGAATCTACTCAGGCATGAGGAACTTCCTTCAACACATTCAGTGGGAGAGGGAACTGACAGGAAAACCAGTACAAGAAATGATGGACTATATGGCAAACAAAATGCAGGAGGCAGAAGGAGAGGTTTGTTCCCAAGGGAAACAGAAATAATGGGAAGACAGAACGAGTCCTTGGTTCACCCAAAGGTGTAGGGAGCAAAAACTAGGTGTACTAGAGAATGGAAAAGGTACAGAAGACAGAGAACTCAGGAAAATAAAGAGATTAGCGAAGAGCCAGAAACGAATATGCACAGATAAGAGGGAGGCTCAGCGACAATATGAAAATGTCATAGCATCGAAGTCAAGACTGACCCGAAGCTGTTGTACAGCCATCAGGAGGAAAACAACAGTCAAGGACAGGTAATCAGACTGAGGAAGGTGTGATGGGGAATTCACAAGAAACGACCGAGAGGTATGTCAGGAGCTCAACACAAAGATTTAAAGAAGTATTTACAGTGGAAACCAGTAGGACTCCAGGAATTCAGAACGGGGGGTACACCAGCAAGTGCTGGAGATGGGTACATATAACCAAGGAGGAGGTGAAGAAGCTGCTATGCGAACTTGACACCTCAAAGTCTGTGGGACAGACAGCATCTCTCCGTGGGTCTTAAAGAGGAGCAGAGATATTGTGTGTACCATTAACAAAGATCTTCAACACATCATTTGAAACTGGGAAATCCCGAAGTATGGAAGATGGCAAATGTAGTCCAATTTTTAAAAAGGGAGACAGACATGAGGCACTAAACTACAGACCTGTATCACTAACATGTATAGTATGCAAGGTCATGGAGAAGATCATCAGGAGGGAGTGGTGGAGCACCTGGAAAGAAACAAGTGTATAATTGACAACCAGCACAGTTTCAGGGAAGGAAAAATCCTGTGTCACAAACCTACTAGAGTTTTATGACAAGGTTTACAGAAGTAAGACAAGAGAGAGAGGGTGAATCGACTGCTATTTTTGGACTGCAAGAAGGCCTTCGACACAGTTCCTCACAAGAGGTTACTGCAAAAGCTAGAGGATCAGGCACACATAACAGGAAAGGCACTGCAATGGATCAGAGAATACCTGACAGGGAGGCAACAACGAGTCATGGTATGTGACGAGGTGTCAGAGTGGGCGCCTGTGACAAGCGGGGTTCCACAGGGGTCAGTCCTAGGACCTGTGCTGTTCTTGGTATATGTGAACGACATAACGGAAGGGATAGACTCAGAAGTGTCCTTGTTTGCAGATGATGTGAAGTTAATGAGAAGAATCAAATCGGATGAGGATCAGGCAGGACTACAAAGAGACCTGGACAGGCTACAAGCCTGGTCCAGCAACTGGCTCCTTGAGTTTAACCCTGCCAAATGCAAAGTCATGAAGATTGGGGAAGGGCAAAGAAGACCGCAGACACAATATAGTTTAGATTGCCAAAGACTGCAAACCTCACTCAAGGAAAAAGATCTGGGGGTGAGTATAACACCGAGCATATCTCCTGAGGCGCATATCAATCAGATTAATGCTGCAGCATATGGGCGCCTGGCAAACCTACGGATAGCGTTCCGATACCTCAGTAAGGATTCGTTCAAGACTCTGTATACCATTTACGTCAGGCCCATACTGGAGTATGCAGCACCAGTTTCGAATCCACACCTAGTCAAGCACGTCAAGAAATTAGAGAATGTGCAAAGGTTTGCAACAAGACTAGTCCCAGAGCTACGGGGGTTGTCCTACGAAGAAAGGTTGAGGGAAATCGGCCTGACGACACTGGAGGACAGGAGGGTCAGGGGAGACATGATAACGACATATAAAATACTGCACGGAATAGACAAGGTGGACAAAGACGGGATGTTCCAGAGATGGGACACAGACACAAGAGGTCACAGTTGGAAGTTGAAGACTCAGATGAATCAAAGGGATGTTAGGAAGTATTTCTTCAGTCATAGAGTAGTCAGGCCGTGGAATAGCCTAGAAAGTGACGTAGTGGAGGCGGGAACCATACATAGTTTTAAGGCGAGGTATGATAAAGCTCATGGGGCAGGGAGAGAGATGACCTAGTAGCAATCAGCGAAGAGGCGGGGCCAGGAGCTATGACTTGACCCCTGCAACCACAAATAGGTGAGTACAAATAGGCGAGTACACACATACATACATACATACACACACATATATGCCCTACGAAGAGAGATTAAAGGAAATCATCCTAATGGCGCTGGAGGACAGGAGAGATAGAGGGGATATGATAACAACATATAAAATATTGAGAGGAATCGACAAGGTGGATAGAAACAGGATGTTCCAGAGATGGGACACAGCAACAAGGTGTCACAGTTGGAAGTTGAAGAATTCAGATGAATCACAAGGACGTTAGGAAGTATTTCTTCAGTCACAGAGTTGTCAGGAAGTGGAATAATCTGGGAAGTGATGTAGTGGAGGCAGGATCCCTACATAGCTTTAAGAAGAGGTATGATAAAGCTCATGGAGCAGGAAGAGTGTCTCAGTAGTAACCAGTGAAGAGGACGGGGCCAGGAGCTATGAGTCAACCCCTGCAAGCACAACTAGGCGAGAACTAGGTGAGCACATACATATAAATACATACATAGAGAGATAGATAAAGATCTACATAGTAAGTTAACATCCCACAAAACATGTGTCTTAAAAATAGTGATGTGCTCAGTCAAACTATATAGATTATCGTAATCATTACATTCATGGGCAGTGATAAATCCCCTTAGGGTCATAAAGCACCTGGCCGAATGGGAGGCAATCACATTCAGTCTAAGAAATTGAAGAGGAGGTCCAATTTCTTGGATCAAGCTCCCGTTGCTTGCATCGGAAACCTCTCTTGAAGGCAAACTAGCTATAAAAAATTAACTCCCTTCAACTGTAAGATTCATTAAACTGAATGGCTCTGTATCCAGTGGAGGCTCATACGTTGGTTTGCGTGCAGCCAGCAGTAACAGCCTGGTTGATCAGGCTCTGATCCACCAGGAAGCCTGGTCACAGACCGGGCCGCGGGGGCGTTGACCCCCGGAACTCTCTCCAGGTAAACTCCAGGTATAGTTTTGATAATCAGGTATTCAGTGTACTTGGCTTTAAAACTAAGGAACTAAAGCTGTGAATAGAATCTTTGAGCTTACACTGACAACATTGAAAAAAAAAGGGAGAAATGGAAGGACCATGAGAACAACATAAATGATACTTGTGGAATATAGTAGACATGAACAGACTTTTCAGTGTGAGTGGAACCAGATATTAGGAGATATTTATATGTAGCTAAATCAGTGCCGGATCAGCTGGGCTGTGGTTCGTATGTTGGACTATGTGTGGCCAGCAGTAACAGCCTGGTGGATCAGGCCCTTATCCACTGGGAGGCCTGGTCATGGATCGGGCTGCGGGGGTGTTGATCCCTGGAATACCCTCTAGGTAGGAGGTAGCTACAGTGTAGTGGAAATACCGAACACACTAAGAGAATGAAACAGTATATGCAGACAAGATTATGCAATATGTAGCTCCAGATAATTAATTAACAGGAAATTAAGAGACCCAAGAGTTTTAGCTCAAATATCACATATTTAATTAACTGTGTTATCAGCGATCCGAAAGTTGTATTGTCAAAATATAGTAGACATTGTGTTTCCATATATATTTCCTCTTCTTGTCCCTCTCCCACCTTTCATATATGCCCCCCTCTTCTTTCCTTCCTCAAATTCCTTTCGTCTGTTTTTTCCTTCAGCATTCATCCTTCTCAGCCCCTTTCTATACTAAATGTTAATTGTGTTATCTTTGTCCTGGCAGTAGTGAGAATACCATGCCTTTTCCCGCAGTGGTAAGAACCATACTTCTATGTGGCTCAGGAACACTTACACAATTGTACTACGTTCTCATCCCATACCTCATCGCCAAAGCTGTTGGGTTCATCTCCTTTGTGGCCTATCTGTCCTACATGAAAGCTAAACGGAATGTGGAGCTTTTTACGGATGAAGTTGACAGGTACACCTTTTACCCTGCGCACAACCTAGTAGTTCAGGTAGGAGAGAGCTTTGTGTACTGTATTTGGGCTGTAATTGTGCACTGTACTAGTATGCATTTTATATATAGTCTCAATTTGTTGCTCATTACCTTCATTGGCCATGTGATTGGCTTGGTTTGGCTCTGGTTGATCAAGTCACGTTACAGACAACCACTTCGTGACCCCAACCAGGTACTAGCCTTAATAAAGCAGATGGAATATGCTAGGTCATAAGAGCTGTATTTTTCTTTTCATATAATCACCCTTTGTAATATATGTAACTCCGGTAGGGATCCCTTATGTTTTTTTTTTTTTCAAGCCACTTTGTTTCTGGGCTGTATTTTAAGATTGCCTCCATTTGTGTACTTATGTATGCTCATAAAATAAAGCTTAGTACAGTGGACCCCCGGTTAACGATATTTTTTCACTCCAGAAGTATGTTCAGGTGCCAGTACTGACCGAATTTGTTCCCATAAGAAATATTGTGAAGTAGATTAGCCCATTTAAGACCCCCAAACATACACGTACAAACGCACTTACATAAATACACTTACATAATTGGTCGCATTCGGAGGTAATCGTTATGCGGGGGTCCACTGTATTGATAATTATATTTGTGGGAAAGTGCTTCACATGTAGGGGGTCACACAGTGGTTAGGGATGGGAGGTAATCAGGTTTGATCCAGGAAGTTAGAGGGGTAGCTCTAATTCCTTGGATCAAGAGCCATTGACCTGTATTTAGACACCTTCCTTAAAGGGACTTTAGCATTGAAATTGGGAAGTATAGCCCATTTTGTGAACCTGTTTGGTAAGTGATAACCCCCTAGTGGCCATTGCAGGAATCAGATTGGGGTATTTGTTATATTCCAGAACCACTAGACCATTAAGGGTCAGAACACATGAGGAATGGAATAATTAGGTTTGATCAACAAATGGGAGGATAGCTTAAATTCCTTGGAGCACAAGCCTCTTACTGGCATCAAAGCACCTTGTCCCTCCTGAAAGGTCATGTAAGATTTAGCATGTGTAAATTTGGTCATGTTAACTCCATTAATTTTAAATATTTTTATGAATTCTTTCTCCATAAGCCATGTGTGTAGTAAGAGGGGACTAAAATGTCAGGAGCAAGGGGCTAGTAACCTCTTCTGTATAAATTACTAAATTTAAAAAGAAAAACTTTTGTTTTTCTTTTTAGGTCTCCCTGCCTTTGTAGGATATGGCCAGTTTGTTGAAAAAAACATTATTTTATGCTGAAGGGCTCATGATCCAAGAAATGAGCTCTCCTCTCCTTTGTTAAATCAGAACAGCATAAGAACAGAGTAGCACTGCAGTTAGGCCTATTGGCCTATGCTAGGCACATCCTATTCACTCCTGCTTATGTACCTGTCCAACCTATTTTTTAAAACTACCCAAAGTACTGTCTTCATTAATGCTTGTTTAAACTCTTAAGGTTTAATGCTTAGCCATGAACATATCAGTTATATTTTCATAAAGGGGCGGTGCTAGTATTTAGTCAATATTAAAACATTACCCTTATAAAACTGCATTAAAATTGGTGTGCATTTGTCATGTACTGTACTGCAAAGTACATAGTTTTATAGTTACAGTATTTAAAACATATATTTAAGGGGTATAAATTTTATCAATATCTAAAATATTTATATTTTATTCACAAGTGCTAGATTCACATATAATATATATAGTTGACCCTTGAACAACGCAGGGGTTAGGGGCACCGAATCCCTCGCGCAGTTGAAACTTCCCGTATAACTTTTGACTCCTCAAAAACTTTACTAATGTCCTACTGTTGACCGGAAGCCTTACCGATAACGTAAAGAGTCGATTAACATTGTTTTGTATGTTATGTGCATTATAAACTGTATCTTGCAATAAAGTAAGCTAGAGAAAAGAAAATCTTAGTAACAAAATCATAAGAGAAAATACATTTATAGTACTGTACTGTATTTATTAATACCCCCCCCAAGGAAGGTTCCTTGATATTGGTGAGGGGCTCTTGATCTAGGGAATTGGATTTGTGTTCTGGTTCCCTGAATTAAACCTGAATACCTTCCACATTCCCTATGGGTTTAGCGCTACCCCTTGATTATAATAATATTGATACCGTAAGTTTACTTAGTTTACAAGATGAATCGTCTGTCAGTACCTGCATCAGTAGTGTCTTATGTAATACAAGACACTGTAGATGTTATATGTATTACTAACACTAGACACCAAAAATGCATAGATAACGTGGAAAGAGAAATATATATTTATTCATGATTTAATATTGCATCTTTACGTATGTTTACATTTCTCTCTACTACGAATGGAATACATATATGTATATGATTTGTAATTGTTTGTGTGCCTAAATTTTGATAAATTTTAATTTTATATAATAGATTTGTGTAATTTTATGGTGGTAAATGATAGACTTGTATCTACATACGTATATTTTATGCATTCATGACATACTTAACCTTTTCCAGTATATTTATTGAAAAAATTGGCATATTAAGTGGACCAGTGCAGTTCAAATCCACGTTGTTCAACGGTCAACTGTGTGTGTGTGTGTGTGTGTGTGTGTGTGTGTGTTGTGTTGTTGTGTTGTTGTGTGTGTTGTGTGGTGTGTCTGTTGGTTCTGTGTCTTCTGTCTGTCTGTCGTCTGTCTGTGTCTGTGTCTGTCTGTCTCTGTCTGTCTCTGTCTCTGTCTCTGCTTCAACATTGGTATGTGAGCATATACATTTGTGTAGCCATATGTCGTTGTAAGAAATTTTCAGCTTTGTAGCGCTCTAGTGATAGTAACTACTAGTTTTGAAAACTATATTTTTTTTATGATATTAATGTTTGTCAGCATTTTTAAAATGGCACTATGGGAATGCCACACTGTATGAGTCTTCACTTTGTAGCACCCTAGCAGAAATTATAATTTTTTTTTTTGTAGAGGATGACCACGTTAAAAAAATTTATATATATATATATATATGTGTGTGTGTGTGTGTATACTGAGAATTTACCCTAATCCCTGTGTTAGGGATTAAAGGCTTCATGTTAATGCTTAATTATTAAGGCAGATATTGACCTTATGACTTGAAGATAAATCTTAAACCTAACAAACTTCATAGAGAAAAGAGCGTTATGTGATTGCTCAACATCATGTAAATGGTCAAGCAAATTTATTTCAAAATTGAGAATTGTATATATGTATTATAGAGAAAATTGCCACATCTATACTGTATTGATAGACAATATTGCTGCAAAATATTAATAGAAAAGGAAGTACCTGAGCATTTTTGTGCATTTACACACATCTTCAGAGGAACTGGTTCTTTCAAAGTACCACACATGGAATATACTACAGTTCCATTTTCCAACGATATCTTGTCAGGTTCATATTGTAGATTGGAAACCCAGAGCAAAGACAAAGGCAGAACAGAGCAGTCATACATGAACATCAATCTGGTGATAGGCAGAGGCTGGGATATACGTATCTCAGAGCAGAAAATCCCATGTACTCGTGGCAGTTGGGCAAATGCCCAGCCCAAAGCTGAAATTGATCATTGCCAGAGGTGTGAGTTGGACCTCAGAAGGGCTGGGTAGGATGGAGCTATCACCAGCACCAAGGGCCAGTAGACCACTTTGGAGCTAGATGAAGTATATCCTGTGAGAGGGCTCACCAGAATTGTAATGGAAACCCTAGAGAAAATGATGCAAGGAGTGTGCAGCCGAATGAATTATTAATTTAAATGCTAAACCCATTGAGCCATAGGCCTACCAGGCATATGGCCTGGTAGGCAAAGCTCTTGCTTCACGTGCTGAGGTGTCCATGGTTCGATTCCCAGCAAGGGTGGAAACAATGGGCGTGTTTCCTTATACCTGTTGTCCCTGTTTACCCATCAGTAAAATGGGTACCTGGGTGTAAGTTGACTGGTATGGGTTGCATCCTGCGACAAAATTGACCTAATTTATCTGAAATGCTCTGCATAACAAGAGACTTTCTATATACAGTGGACCCCCGCATAACGATCACCTCCGAATGCGACCAATTATGTAAGTGTATTTATGTAAGTGCGTTTGCATGTGTATGTTTGGGGGTCTGAAATGGACTAATCTACTTCACAATATTCCTTATGGGAACAAATTCGGTCAGTACTGGCACCTGAACATAACTTCTGGAGTGAAAAAATATCGTTAACCGGGGGTCCACTGTAGTATGTCGTTGATGTCAACTAGGCCTGTACCTTGTACCTTGTACATATTTTGTAGAAATATATTATTATTATACAGTACTACAGGAAGCATATGTGAAGGTAGAAATGTGCAATGGTTAGGAACGTGCGAGGATAGGAATATGTGTATGGGGGGGGGGGGAAGAGATGTTTAGAGTAAAATTTAAATCAGAGTTTAGGGTAGTTTAAATTGAAAAGTCAGTCTGGGTCAAAGATGGAACCTTCAGCAAAGAGGTTAATTAGAAGGAGTGTAAATATTAGAGGTCAAACTTGTATGCCCACTGATAAACAGGACAATCTATTAATATATGGTGGACTGATAGTCCAGGCATTGTGATGCTGGTCATTTCTCCATGTGGTATCTGAGCGAGTTACTAGTTTCCGATTCATAAGCGAGAGTGCAGTTTCCTTAAACCCAGCAGGGGTGAGACGATGATGGCTAGAATCTCGATCATGGGTTGACAGAAAATAATTTGTTGAGGCTCAACTTGGTTAAGTGCTGTTGCCAGTGGTTGCAGAGTTGAGAGTATTATTATAATCAAGCGGGAGTAATAAACCTGTAGGATTATGCAGTGCCTGTAGGGGGGAAAAGTGGAAGGTATTCAGGCTTAATTCAGGGAACTGGAGCACAGATCCAATTCCCTAGACCAAGAGCCCCTCAACAACATCAAGGAACGCAGAGTTGAGAGAGGGGACCGGAAAATAGCCTGAGGAAGGAATACCTCTGCAAGAAATTGGGATGGCATGAATAGCTGACTAAGCCACCGAGTCTGCTTGTTCAGTGCCCTGAACAATAGCATGCCCAGGCACTTTGCAGTAAGCAACAACCTCATGTTTATTAGAAATGGACATAACATCATTTGTATAAGAAGGATGAAAGGAGTCAAATTTCTGGATAGCTTGTAATGTACTTTGGGAGTTTGAAACTACCATGCACAATGATGACATGCTCACAAAGTTTATGATAGCAGTGAAAATTACATACAACTCTGTTGTGAAAATATTGTCTGAATCTAGCAAGTGACCTTGAATTGTTCTTCAGAATTGTAATATTCTAGAAGAAATAAATGATAGTGCATGTACTGAATGTATTAGTATATTTCTAATTAACATTTTATTAGAGTACTGTATATTAGAATATGCCTCAGTAGTACTTAACCTTTTTAACATCTTAATATACTTCACTGTATAGATGCTGGAAAAATCTGACTTACTGGCTAGAAATGAAATGTTGTAACATGTCTGTGAATACTATTATTTTGTTAGGTTTAAGGCACCTTAACAGCACTTTAAACCATAAGAGGGATTAAAGTACTCTCAGTATACACACAGTACACACCTGGAATTCATACACTGTGACTACTATGAAATGTAAATTGTTTTGATTAATATGCAGTAGGATTTAGTTACTGTATTTTTTTTTATTGTTCACTAATTTTATTAACGTGATACTGAATAAAATATTTAATGTGTGCATGTTAATACTTTACAGTATACTAGTGCAAAATGGAATGATTATGACTGGAATGACATACCAGTTTTATTATAAATATTTTTACACTTGCCCTGCTTCGGTGGGAAATGGCCGACATGTTAAAAATAAATATACATCTGATGAAGATAAGTGGAATATATTTGAAGACTTGTTTTGTGCAAAAGTGGTTAGCGAAGGCTGAAAGCAATGAGAGTAAGTACCATGGTTGTTGTTTCTGTTATTTGTTAGTTTATATGTAAAGGAAAATTAAATGACAGCAGTCTTTGCCACATGGCGGCCTGCTCAGTGGTGTTGGCTCTGTGGTGTGGGCCTGGCAAGATGGTTGGGTGTTTTGGGACACAAATGGAAGTGGGGTAACTCCTGGCCCAATGGTGGCACCTGTATACATCACTTTTGCCTAATGAATAATGAGGAGAGTATCATTGTGAAAAGTAATTCCTGTATTTCCTTTGAGTTATTATGTGGGTGAATTAACAGGAAGGGATAAGGGGCTAAATTATATTTGAATCATTCAGTTGCATCTTCCATTTATTCTTAAATTTATCAATATAAATCTATTAAAGTTCACTCACTAGTAACAAAAATATCAAAAAGAAAAAATTCTTTATTTCATTTTATAAAATAATAAAAGTATTAATATTGACCTAGTCTACACAGTATGAAAGACAATATACACACCAGTTCACAACTTGCAAAGTCAATGAATATTGAATACACAATTCTGAGAATCCTGTAAAAAGCAGAGTATGACCTGTATTTAACTAGTAGGTACTGTAGATTAACAGATCACAGTGCAGTTCATTAAAATTCAACAACCTCAGTGATACATATACAGTGGTACCTCGGGATATGAACAGCTCAAAACGCGAACAATTATGCAAGTACTTTTGTAAGTGTATTTTTGGGGGTCTGAAACGGACTAATCTCATTTACATTATTTCTTATGGGAACAAATTCGTTCGGTATCAGCACTCCAGCAGCCTTCTGGAACAAAAAAAATTCATATCCTGAGGTGCCACTGTATATATAATACAACACATTTTGGATGCAAATATCACAAACGGGTATAACACGACTACAATACACATTTACGGTAAAAATAGTTACAAAATATGGTATAATGTATATTATAGCTACAAATATGATGATATAACTGAATATATAATTTCCTATTCTGTATTATGAAGGGGTAGGTAGGTGTGTGCATATGTATGTATGAATGTGAGGGAGGAAGGAGAAAAGGGAGGAGGAATTAAAAACAGTAAGAAATAAAGTAGTAATATTGGTGTGGTTGTATCTGAGTAGAATAATTACAGCCAGAGTCATGATTATTAACGAGTGCAGCACTAAGGGTGTAATAACTAATTGTGGTGGTTATATAATAGAGATTTAAAAAAACTGTAGTGATCTTGGTATTCCTTTGATGAGTGCAGTTATAAAGTACTTTAGTGTAACAATATATGATTATAGATAGCAAAATTAATTCTATATTCAATAAAACTAACATTTTTTTATATTTTAGCTTTAAAAGTTGTTTGCATTTCAAATGCTGTATAGTCCTTGTGGCTTAGCGCTTCTTTTTTGATTATAATAATAATAATTGCATTTCAAATCCTGTGCTGCATATGAAAACATTTATAAATTTATAGCTTTCAGAAAAATAAGTTTTAATCAAAATACTGTAGTTCAATCATATACTGTAATTACTATTATAAAACCTTAAATATCTAACAATCAAGTACAGTTTACCTAACAAGGAAAAAAAAAAAATAGATTTTTTATATTCATGCCACAGGGCAGAACGAGAAGTAATTTGTGTTTACATCTTTTAACCCTTTCGCTGTCAAGACCCTGCTCACAAACTT